ATGTGCTGGGTGTATATATGTAAATGCATACACACACGCATACACATTGTATCACCATCCTTTTCAGCTAACCTATCTGCCATTCCTCTGAAGTTTTGGAGAAAATAATACTATGAACTATTTAAACATAAAATAAATCAATTAACTTTCATTCCCTTCTGTCATATTAGACTAGTCAATAGACTTTGCCAACAGCAGTTGGCCTGCCAAATGAAGGAGGTCTTTAGCATGGTCATGGTCAAGAACACTAGTCACTTTTTCCATGTTAAATCTTCTACTCCCCTGAAGTATAGTCTTCTAAACTCAAGAAAATTACTGCAGAGCACAAAGTGAAAAGTGACAAACATTTTATGCCCTGCTGATACATATTTAAAATGGGCCCTTACTGAAACTATCTAAAAACTTTCAACAGACTACACCTTTAAAGTTATTTAAAATTAAAGTTCCACACATGCTGGTTAATTCTATGATGTATTCATGTAGTTTCCTTTCTAAACTATTTATTTCATGGCATGATTAACCAACATATAGAATACCAGAGGTTCCCCAGGAAGATTTATTGGCTCTGCACTCGAGGGATTCTCATTTTATTATTCCAAACTCTAACAGAGTTTTAATAATCATGATGAGTCAAGTGTGGTAAATGTACATTAGTACATAAACAAATAATATTTGGATATATATACATATATATATACATATATATGTACATACATATACACATGCACACATATGTATACATATATATATATATATCACTGTATGTGTGTTATAAACTATAATTCTTCCCTTGAACTATATATGTTTGCATTAAGAAAATATAAAAACTACAGATTTGTTTTCAGTAGTGTTGTTTACTTCATTCCTACTTCAATAAATGCATTGTGTTGGCAACATAAGGCTCCTCATTAAAGGGTACAATTTTTTAACAGCTTAAATAATGTGCAGCTGTACTGGGAAAACATAAAAAAGTATAGTCAGGATGAATACACACACACACACACACACACACACACCAAAATGCTTTTCTAAACGTGTGAAGAAATTAAATATTGTTTTGTGTTTTACACAAAATGTTCTTCTAAAACTGTGAAGAAATTAAATTTTGTTTTGTGTTTTATACTTATACTGGAGTTTGTTCGCAGTCAAAAAGAACAGTTAACACTTACAAAGGGCTGAGAAAACAATATGTATCTTCCCTTAAAGATGATTGTTAGTTAGCAAGGCTCATCACAGCTGAGAAAACAAACCTACTGAATCCTGTAATAAAGGTGCCTTTACATGGTAATAGCAAAGTCATAGCAACCTCCTGTGTTCTCAAGTGAACAACTAAAACTTTCTGTGCTTGTTCTTTAAAAAAATTAATCTTTCTAGGTGCATCCATTTACCTGAGGCATAGAAAGGGTTGGGGGGGGGTACCTGGACATGGGAGGGGCCAAGGAAGGAAAGAAAAAGGGGAAGGTAAAATAATTCTATTTTAATTAAAATTTACTTTTTTAAAAAAATATTGATGCTAAAATAGTAAGATAAGGATTTTCTGATATGTTTTGTCCAAATCTCTTCAGCTCTGCCTGATTGACTCACAAGATCAGACACGGTGAACTGAAAGAGTACTCAAGGGGTTCTGATTTGTATAAAAGTGAGGGACACATCTATGATCTTGCACTAAATATGAGTCCAAATGTATCAAATAACATAAATCCAGATACACTGAACCTGATAGAAGATAAAGTGGGAAATAATATCAAACACATTGGCACAAGAGACAACTTCCTGAACAGACAGAAAGATCATTACTTAATAAATGGGAGCTCTTGAAACTGAAAACCATCTATAAGACAAAGGACACTATCAATGGGGCAAATCGGTAGCATACTGACTGGGAAAAATCTTCACTAACTCCATGTGTGACAGAGGGCTTATTTCTAAAATATATAAAGAATTCAAGAATCTACTCATCAAAATACCAAATAATCCAATTAAAAATGAGGTACAGATCTAAACAGAGAATTCCCAAAGATTAATCTCAAATGTCCAAGAAACAAAGAAATGTTCAACATTCTTAGCCATCAGGGAAAAGAAAATCAAAATGACTCTGAGATTCCATTTTATACCAGTCAGAATGGCTAAGATCAAAAACAGATAATGCTGGAGGGGCTGAGGAGCAAAGAAAACACTCCTCCATTGCTTATGTAATCTTGCACAGCCACTTAGGAAGTCAATGAGGCAGTTTCTCAAAAACTTGGAATCGATCTACCACAAGACCCAATTATACACCCAATACACTTGCTCAACTATGTTCAGAGCAGCTTTATAATAACCATTACCTGAAAACAACATAGATGTCCCTCAACTGAGGAATGGATAATGAAAATGTTGAACATTTATACAGTGGAATATTACTCAGATATTAAAAATAATGAAATTTGCGGCAAATGGATGGAACTAAAAGAATATCATCCTGAGTGAGATAACACAGTGCCAGAAAGAAAAAAACATTGTATGTTGATGGAAGATGTCATTCTGTAAATATGTTTCTCATACTGGTTAATGAATAAAGCACTGTTGGCCAATAGGAAAGGAAGATAGGTAGAACTAGGAGACGAGGAGGAAAGAGGCGGTAGTAAGGAGGAGTCAAGATGGAAGACAGAGAGAGCAGAACACCAGTGGCCTCTCTCTCTGGTAAGATAAGAAAAACATGGAAATACATAGATTAACAGAAATGGGTAAATACTTAAGACAGAGCTAGCCAATAAGAAACTAGTAACTGGACAACAGCATTATATCTAATACAGAGTCTCCGTGCATTGTTTGGGGCTGGTGCAGCGGTGGGACAAGACCAGCAGTGGGCAGAAAAACCTACTCCTTACAGTATATACTCACTCATTAGTAGATATTAGCTGTAAAATAAAGGGTAACTATGCTACAATCCACACACTCAGAGAGCCTAGTTAACAAGAAGGGCTGAATGGGGGTAAGTCCAGATCTCCCCAGGAAGGGGAAATAGACTCCATGAGTAGACTACAGGAAGGTGGGGATTGATACAGATGAGCAATCAGGCATCAGGTTGGGAGTGGATGGAGGGAGAGAGTATGGTAAGAGACAACTGGAAAAGGGGGCTTTTCAGGGTCAGATAAAAACCTGATACACAGGAATCTCCCAAGAATCTACAAGATGACCCCAGCTAAGATTCCTAGAAATAAGGAATACATAGACTGAACTGGCCATCTCCTGTAACAAGGAAGGATTCAAGTGGAGGGATTGGGAGACCAACTCAGACACATAACCTTTGACCTTGGGTCTGTCTTGCCAATGGGATGTACTATGGTAAAGGTGGCCTAGAGATTGAGAAAGTGGTCAACCAATGTAGATTAAAACCCATTCCAGGAGAGTAAGCCTACCCCGATACTGAGTAAAGCAGCAGGGCATACAGGCTTGATGGCCCAGAGACCTAGGATAGAAGAAAACACAACTGGAGGGGAAAATATGTCAATGTAATAATGCCTAATGATATTCAGCTATACTCATAAATAGGTGCCTAGCCCAATTGTCATTGGAGAGGCTTCATCCAGCAACTGATGGAAACATGCAGACCCACAGCCAGAGCTCAGAGAAGCCTACAGAAGATAGGAAGGAAGGATTGCAGAAGCCAGAGGGATCAAGGGCATTACAAGAAAACACACATAATCAACTAAGCTTGGCTCATAGGAGCTCATAGAGAAGGAACCAATAATCAGTGAGCCTGCATGGGACTGGTCTAGATGCTCTGTATGTTACAGTTGTGTAGCTTGGTCTTCTTGTGGGACTCAAATAGTGGGAGTAGGGACTGTCTCTGACTCAGTCTTCTTCCTACCAGATGCCTCTTCCAGCCTTAATAAGAAAGGGAATGGCTAGTCCCACTGTAAGTTGATGTATAATGGCTTGTTGATATCCATTGGAGGCCTGCCCTTTTCTGAAGAGAAAGGAGTAGAAGGAGGAGTAAATGGGGCTGGGTAGGGTAGGTTGATGGGAGGACTGAGAGGAAAGGATGAAGGGGAAACTGGCCAGGATGTAAGATAATGTAATAAATAAGGAAAAATAAAAATAAAAAAGTGATGGCAGTTGTTTTAATTTTAGAAATATTTATTAATGCATAGTTTTTATTCATCTAATATAGTAGTGATCATTTAATTTTGAGTGTCCTATATCCAAAGATTCTAATAGCCTTAGCATAATATAAATACTTATCCATTCATTCTTTTATAGCTATATTATCAGGTAGAAAGTCACAAGCTGCATTTTGGTTATTTCCATTATGGAAACAGCATTCTTGACATCATTCATTAGAGTGTCTTCTCATTAGTCACAGGAACACATTTGTCTCCCACAGCTCCCAGAAATGTACTCCATTATATAAACAGACAACATCACCAACAGACATGGAGAAAATCATGTGAACCACTAATCTCACCAGGCAATGACTTTAACTTACACAAATTTTTTAACAATTTTGTTCATGTTACATATGAATCTATTAAACCAAAGTTCTATTTGAAAATGTATTAAGGACAAAGCACAGTAGCTCATGCCCAAATTCTCAGGACCTCAGAGGTTGAAGCAAGGATCATGAGTTCCATGCCATTCCATTCTAGGCTATACAGCACAATCCTGAATCCAAAGTAAGGTAAACAAATTTAAAAAATAAACTATATTATAGACAGAAGATGGATTATAGGAAGTGAGAACTATGAATTATAACTTTTATGTAGACTTCCTATATGAAAACTAAATTGATAAAAGACTAGAGTCACTATTACTTTAATTTTTCTAGTACAGTCCATCTCTTACTTTTAGTGTAATAACCCATAAAAACACAAAGAACAAGAACTCTTAATAATGTGTGGATGAAATAATTTTAATCTCTTCTGAGCTATAAATATTCATTTTTTTCAGTAGAAACCTTTTTTGTTGCCTGAAAATTGGGGTTCCAAATATTCAGAATACACTCAGGTGTTACTTACCTCAGTCAAATGGGGTGTTGGATTAAATCCACAGAGATTGCACACTTCACTCTTGCACTCTGTGCAGGTGTTGAAGTTGGGAGGATCCTGAGAGCCTACGTTTAGTTCAGTTTTGCAAAGAGGACAGGTCAGCTTGGATTTGGCCATTTTATCCGGCTTGTGGGTGAGCAGTGCCTTTTCAGACTCAGCAGGCAGAGGCTTGCTGACCTTACCGGTTGGGGGCTTCTTGTCTTTCTCTATCATCTTCACTACTGGAACTTGCTCAGGTTTGGACTCTGAGCTTTCAGCTGCTGGGGCTTTTGTTTCCTTTTTCACAGGCATAGCCTTGGTTGGTGCTGGTGGGAGCTGACTGCTGGACTTGGGTAGTCCCTGAGCAGCAGGAGTCTGTGATGGGGTAGAGGCTGGCTTCGTTGGGGCTGCTGGCCCAGTCTGTGGATGAGTTCCGGGCTGGCCTGCTGTGGAAATTAAGTTTGATGCTTGGCTAAAGATAGATGCTCCAAACCCAAACAGTTTCCCAGTCACAGTTTCTTGAGGAGTTGTGGGTTGTGATTTGGGGGCGTCGGTGATACTACCTAGATTCAAACTGAAACGCCTTGATTGCTCCTGAGGCTTTAAAGACTGCTGAGATGGGGGTACGACTTGGCCAGTGGTAGGTCGTGGACCAGAAGGTGTTGGTGACCCTTTTGGCACTGGCTTGGCATCTGGTTTAGGACTCATCTTGGTTTGTATTTTCTTGGGCTCTTCCTTCTTGGGAGTTGGATAAACGTGCTTTGGATCCTTGCTCTCAGAAATGGGTCCAGGATGTGACATAATTTTTGAGTCTGATGCAGGCCTAGGCATGGCTTTAGACTCAAACGGGGTGGTTTTTTCACCTGTTGGTGGGAAACTTTGGGAGGGCTTGGCAGATTCTGTTTTTAAAGGAAGAGCTGCCTGTACTTGTGCCTGTGGTTGCGCTTGAGAGCTCAGAACATCAGGCTGTTTTGTCGCTGTTACGGAGGACTGGACATCTGCTTGCGGATCTGCCATCTTGGGCTGCTTTGGTTTAACATCTGGAACAGGGTCCTTGGCTTCTTCTGGTAGGAGCGCTGAAGGCTCCCTGGGAAGGGCTGGCTCAGGTGTGGACTCTGCCACCGAAGGCTTTGGGGCTGTAGCTGGGGCAGGTCCATGAAGAGTGGGCTGCTTCACCAGTGGGGCTGGCTTTTTTGACTCAGGGGCTCTGGGGCTGTCCTGCTTGTGTGGAGGTTCATTCTTTGGAGATGCTGGCTGGGATGGAGGTACAGGTGGTTTGCTGGCTGCTCCTGCAGGAGGTACAGAGGCAGTCTTCAGACTGGGCTGTGGTGAGGATGGGATTGGAGCCAGTTCACCTCCTAGAGCTCTTTGCATCTGACAGTTTAAACAGAGCCATTCTTTGATCTGGAAATAACATATAACCATCATCACTAAGATAGTACTATAAAAACACACAAAAAAATTTAAAAGTATGCCTGCCACCATTTTAAATTCATTATTCCAAGAATCAAATACAGTCTTTATTTCAATGAAACATACAAACTTTCACTTTATGGGAGACAATAAACCTCAGAGTTTAAAGCATGATCTATTTTAGGGAAAATAAACAGGAAAATAACATGATTTTATTCTGCCTCCAATGCTAATTTTGTTATTCTTCATGATTTGCTCAGACAGGGTGGTTCTGGAAATAGAAAGTAATACATAATAAAAAAAACATGAATTTGAACTTATTAGATTCCATTAATATGTGATGATATGCATTTTTCTGCTGTTGGCTCACCACCAGGTTTTAGTTATACAACCCAGAGTAGGCTGATCAAATTATGAAACATTACTTATTGCTTTAGTTAGAGGAATATCACTTCTACTTCAAGTCAACATATTCACACATGGAGAAATAAAAATTAACCAAGCTAAGTTAGAAAGAGAATTCTAGGGACAACTCTCTAATTATCATAAATAGCATGATTTCACAAATAAAATATTTATTTCTTGTAAACTTACTTCATCAAGGTAAGTGTTTCAGAGAGTACATATGTATATAAACTACAGAAGGGAGTAGGGAGAGCAAGAGTGTACATAGGTGAAAGAGCTACATATATGTACACACACCCACAATTATGCCCATATTTCATATGTCATTGATTATGAACAAGGGTGGAGTTAAATGTAACAAATTACAAGGTAATCTAAGTGGGTGACTTTAACATTTTGTATGATTCCAAAATATTTATCACATTTGTGTTCAAATAAAATTGTTTCAACCCATGCCTCAATATAAAAAGATTTTGCAATCTCATTAACAGCAAGCATATGACTGGAGAATTCTACAATGTCATATTTCCACTTTAAATATTAAATTAAAAATAGAAATATTCATGGTAAGTTTGTTTTCAAAGTAACTGTCAGGCACCTGTGTATTCCTTATATTTTTATCTTTAACTTTCATTTTTTTTTTTTAATATTGTCTCAGGTATGCCTAACCTGCCTCAAACTCACTGCCCTACTAGGGAGCCCCTTGCACTTCTGCTTTGCTTGTCTCTATGTAGTAGTGCCAGGATCAGGTGCAGGAGTGCAAACCCAGGGTCTCACATATGCTAGGCAAGCTCTCTGCAAACATCTACATCTGCACCTGCAATTACACTTTGCAGCTTTCCCACCTGTTTGAAGCAGTTCAAAAAGTAAATAATTTTTGTACAAACAATGCTTGAAATCATAGAGTAGGCAAATAATTGCTGCTTCTGTAAATGCTTTGGTGAAATTCATCTGAGGTATAAAGGGATTTTTACTCCATAACATCCCCTTCTTGATGAAGAGCTCTGTTTAGAAGCAGGTTCCCACTACCCAAATGGCCAATTATAACTGTCTTACTAGTTTCTTTCTCTCATGCATTTTTCCAAATCCTGACATAATTAACTTAAACTCTCATGAGCAAACAAAACAAGAACATATAATTAAATCCCTAACTCTATATGTATAGTATATCTTATTTTTCTACTTTCCTACAAAATTTCTCTTAAGTTTGTGGTGTGTATCTGAGTTAATAAATGTAAATTACAAATTTCTAGAGCTAATTCTTATGACTACCACTTCCTTTATTTCTGAACAGTTGTTATAGCCAATGTAGATGTAATATGTAATCACTATCCATTACTTTGCTCAACTATTTATTGAGCACTATGCATACTACAAATGCCTCTGCAGTAAAAATCCAAAGTTGCACATCTACTGGCAACCACAAAAAAGTGAAAAGTCAAAAAATGCATGTTAAAGCATAATGTAACATTAAGAGTTTTAGCTATTCAAAAGAAGTTTCTGAAAAATGTATGTTGATTCCTTCTTTCTTGCTAGTTTCTATCTCAGGTTTGTACCTGTAAAATATTTTGAGGAGATGAACTTATGAGTAAAACTGCAAATTCTTCATGCCCATATTTAGTCCTTAAGTGCATGTTTGGCCACTTTAATATTAATATAATACCACAATATATACAAGGTCTAGTGTACATAAATTCATGAAATGCCTTTTATATGGCTAAATTAAGTGATTTGTTGTAGTTTATAAATGTAAATACTTTTATGTCTACTTAGACACAGAAAGGAGGCAAGGAAAAGGAGATAAGATACATGTGTAGCCATACATCATAGAGAATGGTCTTCTCTTCGCACAACATTTCCTTAAGCATACTTTGCTGTCTTCTCTTTTTTCCATTTTATGCTACTTTTGCTTTCATAAACAATGCATGAGACATCTCATCCTTATATATTCTGCTTCTCTATAAGAATAAGAGATCAGATCATTGCCTGTGATATGACAATACAAATAGCTTTTTACCCTCTGAGGATGTTTTAGAAAGAGCTGCCTTTTAGTTCATTTCTACTGGCCATATCTGATGAATATCTAAATGAGTCTTATGTCACTACTTAACAATCTTCACACATGCACACATACACATTCACACAGACACATACACACATACACTCCCACACACAAATGCACACACATATACACACTAGCTTGTGCCTTAATACACTGAAAAAATGGTAAAGCTCACAAGCAGCCTTAGCATTCACATAACTAACCAAGAAAATTGTGAGACAACTGATACTGATGCAAGTTATGTTTCCCATGAGGTAAATGAATGCAAGGCCCTATCACCCAAGTTATAAAATTTTGTTGTCTTATTTTTATTATAGTTACTATAAATTATTCTCTGAATAGGTCTGCATTTGGGTGTAAAAGACAATTCCCATTTATTCTTTCATTTTCCAAAGTCATTCTCTCTCACTCTGGTCCTCACATCTCAAATTATACTTCCACAAGAGTAATATTTCAAATGAGCAAGAGAAGCAGTTAAATCCAGTTTTTACTATCAAAATCTGCAGTTGATGTTCTTATATTGTTATTTATATAGTTAAACTATGACATGATCTTTGTTCAAACTCCCCATAGAATTTCAGCAACAAGTATAAGGGACTGTTTTATGTTTCTCTGAACTCAAAAGTGTATTTGACCTTCTTAGCCTCATGAACACAAAACTGTTTAGCTCATACAAATTTTAGTATGTAAAAGTGTTTAATTTTGCTTACTGCAGCATCTCTTTTTTATGCTGTGGATCACCACTGTTAACACAGTTAGCACAAAGGCTTTCATACTTATTTTATGGTTCCACACATTTCTCACTAGAACCCTTATCCATTCTGAACCTAGACAGTCATTCCCATATGTATTGAAACTGGAAAGTATATAATTCCATAGGCACAAATATTTCTTGTATCTGAAATAGTAATTTCCCTATTTCCTTTTCAAGGTTAATACCTTGTATCTAATGCTGTGTGAACAGAGGTACCTGATATACCAACACCATCAACCTGAACACTTGCTGCCAGTTACACTGGTGGCCATGTCTCTTTAACAGGTGCCCCTTCATTCCTTATTTCTGTATCTTCATTTTATGACAGCCATGAGTGGGGGCCTTGGAAAATGTTAGCTCCTAATAGATACCTAAGGCTAAGAATATTAGCCCAGTGCCTGGAGTAGGTGGTCAGTGAAATTTCATAAACTTCCAAACATTACAGGTTATTTACAGTGCTATTAGTCATTCTCAGAACTTGAACATAAGAACATATTACTGAAGATGAATAAGAATATGGAGCTACCATGTTGGTACTGATCTAGAAACCTCATCCCTTTGTGCTATGCACACGACTGAATACAAAAGTAATCGTCAATCTTGTCAATCTTACCTAGGTGTGATCCCTGTGACCTACTATAGCAACTGGCCTGGAAAGATATAGCCATGGTGCAATAGTACCATGGACATCATGGGAGTAACCAGCACTCTGTGAGTGGATTTATATTCCTCTCCACAAGATACAACCTGACATCATTATCAGGGCCATGATCCTGGGGGCAGACAGGTCATAGACCTTAGGGAATACCTACTGCTACCACACTGTGAAACAAACATAGTATTAAACAGATGTCTATTAACTTAAAGTTATATCCACAGATCCATACATATATCCACCTTTATCTGAGAAGCTTCTATTTGCAACATATGGGGATTAACCTGGAGACCCATCACTGGCCAAAGTACAGAAAAAAGAAACTGTGCAATGCCTATTCATAAATGGAACATCTACCTCACAAACTCTTCCCCAAGGCTCAGAGGTCACTGCAGAAGCAGTACTGAAAGATGACAAGAGCTATAAGCCCATGGATGGCAATAAAAAAGTATCTTCTGGGCACCATAGGCCACTTCTTCATATGAACTCATTGTGGTTGTGACAGTTATACATAAGGCCTGTTGAAATTTAAGGCAGGCTAAATCTCAATATGGAGAGGGTACATAGTCATAAAACATCACTACTAGCTCTTGGCTATTGACATTTAATAGCTCCTGGAAAAGGGGGAGCCAGTTTTTTTTTAAGTGTATCCCCTTGTAAATCAAGCACATTCCAGTGAATGACCACATATTAAAGAATATATGGATATCAAAAATCAGACATTATAAATAAATACAATGTACTGACACCAGATATTACGGTAAATATCTGACACCAGATATTGCGGTAAATAAGGATCAGGATAAACAAATAGGCCGAATAGATGTTTATTCAGGGAGAAATAACTTACAACCTAGACAGATGAACACCAGGAAATTCAACCCGATCCTCTCCTGTCTGAGTCACGCCAGAAAGAGCGAGCCTTTCCTGGCCCCCTCCGACCTCCTTCCACAGGTCACTTCCGCCCATGGCTCCACCCCCAATGGGCGTGGTCAGTGCCACAGAAGGAGACAAAGTGAATATCCCACTACAAGTTTTGTGTGTCAATTTGATACAAGCTAGAGTTAACAAAGGAGCCTCAGTTGAGATAATTCCTCGATAAGTTCATCTGTAAG